TCACGGGAGAGATCAGGAGCTTACCTCACCGACCGGTGATCCGTCACCGGGTTTTGGTGGGTTAAATCTTGGTAAATCTCCCCTAATATGGGTAGTGGCAGTTTCTTGCCTTAGGATTCAACCGGATGATTACCCTGATATTTTTCTAAGCTCGCCTCAATTCTGTGCCGTGCATTTCACTTTCGAATAAAGTCAATAAGTGTCAATAAGTGTGTCTCTGCCGGGAAATTAATAGCTGATTGCCGCGATCCTCTGGTGTGCGGACTGGCCAGAAACGGACTGGCCAGAAATCGATATCGATACGCTGTCACATGCCCGATGAGGACACCCTTTAGCCGGTTTCTGCCACGATCCTCTGCACCGGGGGGCCTGAATGTGATCCGAAAGGAAGCATGGCTTTTCTGCAGAACAAGTTCCGGTGTCCGCCTATGTTGGGAGCTCGAAGAACCTGAAGGACCTAAAGGATCCGTACATTGGGGGAAACCGAGCCTCTGCACTGGAGAGCTAAACGTGATCCGAAAGCAAAAACGCTTTCGCTGCAGATCCTTTCTACGGAAGGGCGTGTCGTTGGACCATGTTGGGAGAAATTAAAACCTAAAGGACCTAAAGAGGGCGAGGTAGGACATCGCCCATTCCCGCGGCCCCCGAACGAGCGGGGTTAGGCTTCACGGTTGAGGGTTCACGGTTTAGGGCTTATGGTTTAGGGTGTAAGTTTTAGGGTTTGGGTTTGTCCTTTAGGTCCTTTAGGGGCGGTAGGGGTTACAGGTTGGGGGTTAGGGTTCGGGGTTAGAGATTCGATGTTAGGGTTGAGGGTTGAGGGTTGAGGGTTGAGGGTTGAGGGTTGAGGGTTGAGGGTTGAGGGTTCTGGGATTAGGGTTTAGGGTTTGGGGTTTGGGGTTTAGGGTCCTGAGGTTAGGGGTTCGGGTTCAGGGTTTAGGGTCTAGGGTTAAGGGTTTAGGGTTTAGGGTTTAGGGTTTGAGGTTTGGGGTTTAGGGTGCAGGGATTCATGTTGAGGGTTGAGGGTTGAGGGTTGAGGGTTCAGGGTTCAGGGTTCAGGGTTGAGGGTTGAGGGTTGAGGGTTGAGGGTTGGGGGGTTAGGGGATCGGGATTAGAGGTGAGGGGTGAGGGGTGAGGGGGCAAGGTTCAGGGTTGAGGGTTGAGGGTTCAGGGTTGAGGGTTAGGGTTTAGAGGTTAGGGTTCAGGGTTGAGGGTTTAGGGTAGGGGTATGGGGTTCAGGGTTTAGGGTTTAGGGTTGAGAGTTTAGGGTTGAGGGCTTAGGGTTCAGGGTTTTGGGTTTTGGGTGTATGGTTTGGGATCTATCGTTTGGGATTCACGGTTCAGGGTTTCAGGGGTTGAACTTCGCGTGTAGGGTTTAGTGCTTACGGTTTAGGGTTAGGGTTTAGGGTTTAGCGGTTAGGGTTTAAGGTTTAGGGAATACGGTCCTCCTGACTGAGTCCTGAGTCCTCCTGTCTGAATCCTGAGTTCTCCTGACCAAATGCTGAGTCCTCCTGACTGAATCCTGAGTCATCAATGCTAAATCCTGAGTCACCCTCACTGAATCCTAAGCCCTCCTCGCTGAATCCTGAGTCCTCCTCACTGAATCCTGAGGATAGTGTCTGGAGGTTTCGGGATAGAGTCAGGAGGTATCAGAATACAGTCAGGAGGGGTCAGGACAGAGTCTGGAGGTCTCAGGATATATCCGATGAGTCAGGAGGTCCAAGAGAATACCCTATAGGTGGTGTAGAAGGTCTCAGGATAGCGTGTGGAGGTCTCAGGACGGAGTCTGGATGTCTCGGGTCAGCGGCTGGAGGGCTCAGAATAGCATCTGGAGGTCTCTGGATAGAGTCTGGAAACCTCAGGAAATAGTCAGGAGGTCGCAGGATGTATCCGATAGAGTCAGGAGGTCTCAAGACAGAGGCTGCATGCCTCAGGATAGAGTGTGGAGGTCTCAGGGCAGAGTCTGGATGCCTCGGGTCAGCGTCTGGAGGGCCCAGAATAGCTTCTGGAGGTCTCTGGATGGAGACTGAAGGTCTCACCAGAGTCTGGCGGTCTCAGGATAGAGTGGCAAGGACTAAGAAAAGACTTCTCAGGTCCCAGGATAGAGTTCTGAGGACTCGGGTTAGAGTTCTGACTACTCGAGGACTCACTCATCACGATAGAGTTATAACGACTCAGGATAGAGGTCTGAGTCCGCAGGGTAGAATTTCTGAGGTCTCATGATGGAGTTCTCAGGATCCAGCATAGGATTTTGAGGCAAGAGTGTCGCAGACACATCCCCGATATTGCTGAGCCCAGATGAGCGAGCCGGGCCGAGACAATCTCTTTGTAGGTTCTAGCATCGTCAACACGTGTACGGCCATCAACCAAGAGCCAGAACTCCGATCACTACTGTCCCGATTCAAGTCCTGGATTTAATTGTACATACTGTTCAACCTAAACCCGAATCACTCAAATCTCTACGAACGAGAGAACTTTCACATGGCAGATACCTATTTCCTTTGCTCCCACGACATCAAACTTATGCGGAGAGTCCAAAGTCCAGAGTCCAGAGTCCAGAACACTGCAACACGATAAAATCGTTACTGCCATTCGAGGGTCTATTTTTTCCGTTGGTATGCGGTACCAACGCCAGCTGTTTTCAGGTTTGAACAAAAAACTGGTTCGAGCTCGTAGTCATGAGACTGGTTCATGGGTTTTTGTCGGCCACACTTGGATTCTAGTTCAGAAGCCTTTTTGTGTTCGTGAGAAGCGTCGACACATTCTTCGATTTTCTGTGTCCCCGAGGTGTTGGACGGTTCCCGAAATCAATTAATACCTTCACCGAAAAAACTGTTCTCGGCGGTCCTGGAATCCTCGGAACCCCCCCTTCAAATCCACGATGGCACCAGAGACTCGAAAACACACCCAGCAGGTCCAGTCGACTTTCCACGAACAAGATGATTTCGAACTTTCCACGAACAAGATGATTTCGGAAATGAAACGTGGGCTCTTCGATCGTAGAATGCTGTATTGTTTTTCGAGGGTGGTCTCCGACTCTCGAGGCTACGAGCTCGTAGCCTTGTAGGACCTACGAGCTCGTACCCCGGTAGGATCCTAGCAGGGCCTGGACCCAAATTTATTCTCCGATGTTTAGGATCCTACACATGTGTGCACCGGATACTCGAGAGCATCTTGCTTCAAACCCCACAAACAGGACAAACCCAAACGTAAACCCTACGAGCTCGTAGTAAACCCCAAACCTTGACACTTGTCTTCCGCCAGAGTGTACGCAAGGCGCCCTGCGTGGCGGGCGCCTGGCACGCAGGGCGCCACGAAAGCTCCTTTTATGCTCGCGAACCTTTAGGTCCTTTAGGTTTTAATTTCTCCCAACATATGCCAACGACACGCCCTTCCGTAGAAAGGACTGCAAAGAAAACGTGTTTGCTTTCGGATCGCGTTTCGCTCTCCAGTGCAGAGGCTCGTGAAGAGGGGATACAGGGTGGCTCTGTTGGGGTGTTTGAGTTAATCCAAAAGGATCGCGCTCGCACACACACCGAACCCAAGTCAGCCTTCATGAGGCTCATGGTATCCCATGGTTGAAGTTTAAGAGTTTCAACCACGGATACCCCACAAGGTGAGAGGGATTGTGTGGGTGTGTGGGGTGTGGGGTGTGGGGTGTGGTGTGTGGTGTGTGATCAGTCAGACACCAAGAGATGAAAGGGGAGAAATGTGGTTGTGCAGGGGTTTGTCCCGGTTGACGTAAGTCAGCAAAGTTAAGGGCAATCTAAGCGTGGTTTATCCTAATGTATGGAGCTTATGGGTCCTGCTGGACTGGATCCTTTATGGAGCTTATGGAGCTTATGGAGCTTATGGAGTTTAGGTCCTTTATGATTACTTTAGGTCCTTTAGGTTTTAATGTCTCCCAACATATGCCAACGACACGCCCTTCCGTAGAAAGGACTTTAGGTCCTTTAGGTTTTAATTTCGCCCAACATATGCCAACGACACGCCCTTCCGTAGAAAGGAC